GAAATATGTAATTGGGGTCAAAAAATTCCTAACTTTTATTTTAATTTCTTTATTATAAGAAACAGCTTGCTATTTTATCGTTTCAATGAAATTGAACTTTTATCTTTCATGTTATGTACATGAAAATAATAATAATTTATTATGTTATCTTTTATATATAATGATTTTGAAGATACAAAATAATTAGGCAGTAAAGTAGATATAGTTATTTTATATTATACAGTACTTTTTTCATATAAAACAAAACTAATTAATTTACAAAAAAATTGTATAGATACCTAATCATTTTAAAGCAGTAAATTTATTCATTTTAGATGCAATTTAATATATTTAATTTGTATTATAATTTTATTTTTCATAAAAAAAATAAACATTTTAATAATTAATATCAAACGAAATGTATCCGAAAAAAAAGCATTTAATTTTAACATAAATTAATTAATAATTGTTCAAACTGTGTGAGACTACTTTGAACATTTTATTTAAGTTTAAAAATAATCAATCCGTTTTTCTCATGATTGTGTTTATTAAACGTTAGACATATAATATTTGATAGTATTTTACAAATTATATTTAAATATCACACCATCCAAATATAATATAAAAAGTACCTTGTATGTATTTACATAATAAAAGTATTTTGACATTTAAACTAATTTATGTGAATAATGTTTAGATACCTCATAAATATAATGATTGAAAATTAATATATGTACTTACATATATATTATTAGTATGTTTTTTTTGTCAATAAAATAATTTTAAACCATTTTTGCCATAACACAATTGCTAATCTTTTTAAATATAAAATACCAAAGAAAACCATCACTAATGAGTAGTTAGTGATTGTTTTTCCTAATTTTATAAAATAACGAAGGTATAGTGAAAGTTATGACAATTATATATAATTAAGTATCTATACGTAAAAATAAAACTTATTAAAAAAAAAATGTATCTATATATATTTTACAATTTTAAATTTCATGAAATTTGCAAACATTAATTATAAGAAATCATATACATAATATACACTACCTGGTATCCTATGAAGGTTTAGTACACATATCGAATAATCATAAAAAATAACAATTTGCCTCATTAAATATCAAGATCTAAGGCCTAGGAAAACTTTTAAACTATATTACCTATGTAGTTAACGGAAATAGACCAATAGTTGTCAAATATTGTGCCTAAAAAATAATTTTTTTGCGTTCCATATATTTTACGATCAATATACCAATTGTGCTATTCAAATTTGCCTACCTTCAGGAAAGAAAATATTGTTTATAAATGTATTTATTATTGTAAACAATTTTAAATATAAATTATAATGTAACTGGTATAACTTTAAATTTTAATTTATTTTTTTATTTATATTATATTATGTACTAATAGTAGCAAAAAAAATCAGTTAGTGTGTTATTTATTTTATTATATTTATAATTATAGCTTAATTTTGAATAATTGACGATCAAAAAGTAACTTGTTAAATGCGAAGAAGAAAAATTATTCGTTTATTTATATTATAAGAAAGTACTTATAATCGAAGAAAAATTGGTTAGTGCATTTATTTATTATATAATTATAATTAATTAATAAGTTTTCTTTGGCCATTGTAAAATGTTTTGAGCGCAATTGGTCAGTCGACCCTAAAATGTTTAGACCGCAATTGGTATATGAAAAGGTCATTAAGCTCAATTAGTAAACTCCCGTAGTCAACACAATTTATCTGAGGTGAATTGTAAAATTATAGACATACAATGGAACCTCGATAAGTCGAAAACCTTGATAAGTCGAAAAAAATTCTGTTCCCTTGCATAAACCTCGATTACTTGAAAAAAATCTATAGATAACTCGAGCATATTATGCTCCAAATATAGACGAATAATGACGGATAGCTTTATAAGCATTTGTCTAAATGTTACAATGATTTTTTTACTAATCGCATTTATTGTGTTTATTATCGTATGTATTAACTAATATCGGCACACAACAGTATTTTTCATTTGTATCGGTATTGCCAGTAGTACCGGCGCTAGGGGAGGACAAATGGGATATTTGTCCAGGGCTCTGCGCTTGTTAAAGGACTCCTGTGATTTTAAATTATCATTTTAATACCGTGAGACACATTGACATTTTATATCCTAAACGCTAATGTCCAGAGCCTCGCAATACCTAGCACCGGCACTAATTGCCAATAGTTATTTAAAAATTTTAATACATACATACATTTTAAAAACTCTTTAAGTCGAATTTTTTTATCTAAAACCTTGGTAACTCGAAAACCTTAGTAAGACGAAACCTCGATAAGTCAAAAAAAATTGCATTTCCCTTGAATTTCGACTTATCGAGGTTCCACTGTATATAAAAAACACAAACATATTTTAAAATATCTGTATCTATAGGCATGGGCGACCGCAGAAAATTTATCATAGGGAAGGCATAATTAAATCGAACACCAAAAAGTATATTAAAAAAAATGTATTCTTAGCAAACAATAAAATACGTCAGAATTGTACACACTTTAATCGTTATCAAATAAAAACTGAAGTCTTTTCAGTTATTCGATTGCAAACTTTGTTATTAACCGTTCGATTAATTTTTTCCAGGGGGAGGAGGCAAATACCCCGTCTTGCCCATCCTCTGGAAGCCCATGCCTAAAGGTGATATAAAATCACAATAACAAATATACTAAATTTCTTAATATTTTTATTTATACGTACTTTGTGCATAGTTAGCAGAAACCAATCAACTCCTAGTTGCGCTCATATTAAGTATTAATAATTATAATAATATAATTTTAAGATAGCAATTTATAGTATACATAATTAGATAAGTACTCATATGGCTATATCACCACTAATAACTCATAGCAGTGATTTCCAAAGTGTATTCCACGGAACCTAAGAGTGCCGTGAGACATTTAAAATATTTTTTGGAGAAATTAGTTTTTTAATAAATATTGAAAAATTGGAGATAAGACATTGAGGTTCCACGAAACATAAATTATTTTCTAATAAGGTTCCGGGGTCATAAAAATTTTGAAACCACTGATATATACATAATTATCTATAGCATATTGAAACAGCATTCTTCAGGCTTAAAATAATGCTTGTATTATGAAGTAAATTGTTTAAAATATGTTCAAACAGATATAAATAAAAAAAAGTTTGCTTAAAAATTTAATATTATACAAATATAATAAATTATACATAGGACCTAGACGTAGATGTTTGACGTACATAAGTAACACGCAACATTATTGTTATTCAAATACTATCACTATGAAGTATTTATATCTTCTAGGCATAGGCATGCGCACGGAGAGTGTCGAGTGTGCCCGGATACCCCCCCCCCCATCAGCGAAATGTTGTTGATGGGGTTCTACAATTTGAGCCTAAGAGTGAGGAGCCCGTATTTTAATTGATATTGCTCAAATCAAATTTATTCTAAAATATTTGGTAAAAACAAATAATGTTTCATAATAGAAAAAACACAACTACCTACATTTTCTAAATGTTCGTACGAAAATTCATTACGGTAATATAACATCTACATTTGACTACATATACGTATCATAAATAACTGATGCTGTATAAGAAAAATATACGAGACTCAAGGAAAACATATTCATTGGGGCTAATGTATTACAATATTAAATAAAAAATTTAAGTTATGTTTATTTAATTATTTATACATTATAACTTATTAAATATAACTACACGTTTTGTTAAGATAGGGTTTAAAAGTATAGTAGGCACCCCATAAAAAACAGATTTGCGCTCACCTATACTTCTAGGTCCTTATGATCTAGAATCTAGGACCTCCGAAAATATCTAACCTTAATAGTTTAAATGAAAAAGACTAAAACAACTAATGGTTATTAGTTTACAGAGCATTAATCATAATATACGATTACGATCGTATAATCACACCATAGTTCATAATTTTTCTTTTTTTGCCATCCTGTAGACACTGGAATACAAAAAACTACCATATTTTCAAAATCGTGACTATAGTATGCTTTAAAACTAGAAGAATCCACTATTAGTCCACTAATTAAAATCACATTTCACGAAGCCAATACATATATATGCCAGACACATTAAAATATTTTGTATAAAGGCGACGAGACGCTCATTAATTGACAAAAATAAACAAGTATCGGAGGTAGTATTAATAACGATGTCGGTTAAATTTTAATTCTGAAATGCCAAGCAATAGGACACGAATTGGTAAACAATAACGTTTAAAATTAATCAAAACTCTCGTACACAAATTATAGACCTCACCATAGACGCAAGCGAGTCTTTAGCACCCCTGTTTTTATTTAGGTCATCCTATAATAATATACCAATTTATATCAATTTTCTTTTTAGAAATTTCAGCCTCCTCAATATTTGGAATCTAATTGCGCATATGGGCCTCAGGGGAATCAAGCAATCGAAAACATCAAATGGAATCGAAATACAATGTACAAAAGTACTCTGTTGTTAAGTGCTCGGTACCTAGGCTCAAAAGTATTTGAACGCTTACTGTTAGTGGGTGAATACTCCAATATCAATATAGTATAATTATACTCCTAACACATGTCTTCAACGCAACGTCGCGTGTTTGCGTACATGTCGTTATATCGCGTTATATGTGTTATGTTAATCATTTTCTCATAATTATGTTCTAACAAGTACACGGTTGTCACATTGGGTGCATTCATTATGGTAATGGCCAACGGGCAAAACTGGTAAGCGTTAAACGATTATTTGCATAATGAATATTCATGATTGAAATGTGTCGTACGCGGCACGGAGCACAGCCGTTCGGTGACGGGTGAAGCGGACCGAGTGGCGGGCGTCCGATTTGTTAAAGTTATTTACGCGGACTGAATACGCAGATACGTGCCGCCGTACACGATAAGCGACGGTTGGTGACGATACTGCAAGCGCGATCTGTTCGCCGGAACAACGACTAAGTAGACAATAATATCTCGTCGCCATCTTATCCGACAGTGGCAGCGACAATAACGCGTCACGGACGCCGTCGTCGAGTCGACGCACGGTTCTCACGGTCCCGCACCCCATCAAACGTAGCAGCAACTGTCCGCGCAGGCGCAGTACGAACCCTTATCATTATCATTGTTATTGTTGTCGACCTGACACCAGGACAACGGCCGCCGCGCGACAAGTGTAACGATCTTTTTCAAATGTCTGTTATCGCCGCTCGTCATTTCGTCCGATCTTCCTCCAACACGTTCGTTTCCCTTCGCACGGACCGTATGTATTCAAATTTTATCCGATTATCGCACTCGCAGAACAATGTAATGTTTCGTATAAACACCGTTTTCGGACAACAAACGGCATAACATAGTATCTAGAATATTCATACTTACATAGATCTGCGGATTATTAAAAATGTCCGATTTTTCGCAAATTCCTTCGTACTCCCAATTCCGGGCCACGGAAACTGTAAGTACAGCTGCACGTCCTGCATGTGATGAGAGATCTTTCATTGACATGCCAAATAATTGATTGTGGTTTTTTTTATTTTTTTACATGTTAAGTGGCAATTGTTGGTAGACCATTTCCGAAGCGGTATGCCGCTGAAATCACATCGTTATCAGTTGTGGTTCAGAGACAACTGTTTTGCAGGCGTTGAAGCTGTTGATTGGATGTACAACGAAGCGTCTACTGGTAAATTACAGCACTTGTTTAACAAAGGGGTCACACGTCAACAGATTGTATCGTTGATGAACAAGTTTTACGACGCTGGTATTTTTAAAGCTGTCAGTACTACATTACAAAAGTTTAAGGATAAGTCAGAACTTTATGAGTGAGTATTCCAAATTAGTTATACATTTATTTAAATATTTTAAAGTTGTGATATAAATAGTTTACCTATTGTAACTAGTTTAATAATCATATTTAATATTTTGAATTTTATTTATTTTTTTTTTGTCATCTCAAAATTTAATAGCTAAAGAATTAATTTATTTTTATTAAGTATATATAATACTCTATTCTTATTATTTATTATTTTTAAAATTGTGTTTTAATGAAGATTAAATTTATAAAATTTCAATGCCTATCACATGTATAAACACTTTTTTTAGTCTACATTTATTGCTATTGAATAATTGTAAATTTTAACTATCAGCATTAATTAAAATTGCTATAGTTAGATAGTTATAATTTTGGTTCTTATTTTGAAAATGTACTTATAAGTTTTTAAGCTATAACCATTATCATTGATAAAATTGATCAATGCCAACATAAAAATACTTTCATCATTATTTACAACTTCTGCTAAATAGACATACCATTAATTTATTAACTATTTTTTATTAAAAATATAAGACAAAACATATAATCATTGAATTTTATATTATGCTAATGTATTATTTAATAATAATATACTGCTTTTAGGTTTTCATTACCAAAGAATAATAATAAGACAATAAACAAAGGATCTGTATTGTCATCATTAAATTTATTCATAATGAATAAACCACAGTCTTTATCTCCTCAGCTCAAAAAAAGTGATAAAAATATTAATCATAGAATGAAATCGTACTCAATGGAAAATATTGCAATGAATACATATTTGAATGAGAACCATAAAATTGCTAACTTTATCATACAAAAGTAAATATTTATAATATTTATAATACACATATATATTATGGCTAGTAAATCAGTAAAAAAAAATACATTTAGTTGATTGTAGGATGTAAATTAATGTATAATAGGTATATTATTGATTATTGATAAAAAATCATCAGTTAAATAAAAATAATGATAGAGAAGTATTTGAGAATTAAATTAATTTATTTTGAAGAATATTAGTACTAACAATTTTACTTGCACATTTTCATATTTTTTTAATGCTTATCCAAAATACAATTTTTTGAAAATTATTAAATTAACTTTAAATCAATGATATCATATCACAATAATTGCAATGATGATTTTTATTTTTTACTACCAAATATTTCAAATAATATATGATAAAAAAATCAGAAAATTCATTAAGTATTATATTACTTAAATGTCTCAAAAAACCGATCAACTGTTTAAACTTATTTATTTTATTTTAAAAATGATTAACATTTATTTATATTTTTTGTTGATTTAGTTTGCGGAATATTCTAAAAAGTTTCAATATGGATGATTTTTTAAATATTGAAAATTTAAACAAACAATGGATAATTATGAACATTTATAATCATGAATACAATGTTGACGGTTTATTTCCTCATTGGGTAAAATCTGCAATGGATAGCTTAACTTGTGGTAAAGTTATTATCTTAGAAATTAATTTTTTCTGTGCATTTTTTACAGACCATTAATAAAACTCAACTTTCCTACATTTAATTTTATTAAGACTAGTTATGAATATAAAATAAATATAATCAAACTAATATTTTTAAATGGTCTTACCTATTTATTTTATTTTGAAATTACGAAATTTTATTACAACTTATTATCAAACTATTAAACAAAATATTTCAAATGTTTAACTTAACAAATATATGAATTTTTTGTAAATATTTGAACTAAAATTGTTATAATTTATTTTCCAAATATTATTAAATGCTTAATCTTTTTTAAACACTATTTAAGAAATTTAATAAGTTTTTAATTTTTTGTAGAATATTCAAATTTATATTTTAACTTTTGAGATACATATTCATATTTATTTACTTAGTTTTTCAAATTTGGTTTATGATGCAATGAATTATTATTTAAAAGACTTGCCATTCACGGATTCTTCCAACATAACTACATATTAAATTCTCACCACTCCCTTCTCAATCTCATATTCTCTAATCTTAGCTCCATAACTGTTAAACATGCTCTTGACCCTGCCGTGCCTGCCGACACTTATCATCTGCCTCTCTCACTCTCTATAAATCTCTCCATTCATGCTCCTCAATCTGCTTCTCACATATCATTTTATAACTTTAGTAAGGCAGATTAAATGCAGATCACAAATTTCTTTAACTATTTCAATTGGAAAAGTACCTTTCTGTCATACTCCCCTGATGATTCCATGTCTGTCTTCCTTGATGCTTTCCATTATTCAAGTTTAACTTTTGTTACTAAAATCTCTTTTTACCTTTCCACTTTTCCGTCTTGGTACACTAAGGAGCTCAAAGAACTAGTGTTTGCTAAGTCTCGTGCTCATGCCAAATTTAAGTCATCCCAGCTATTATCAGATTACAAGCATTTTTCACTTCTTCGCGCTAAATTTAAATTCATCTCCAAACAATGCTACCGTAATTTTGTCTCACGTAAAGAGTTCTCCCTATTACACAACCCACAATACTTTTGGAGTTTTATTAGGAAAAAATCGCTCTTTTCAATCTATACCTTCATATGTTTCACTACACGGTAAACAAAGTACATCTCCTTCCGATACTGCTAACCTTTTTGCTTCATATTTTTCTTCTGTGTTCACCCAACCTTCACCGACTCCATCCCAAACATTACATTCTATCTGCCTCTTTCCACTCCCGTCTAATGCCTATTTTTCGATTAGTGACGTCTACAAATGCTTATGGTCTCTTCGCAATATTAAGTCTGTTGGTCCAGATGGTATCCAGGGTGATTTCTTATATAAACTTCGATCTGTTCTAGCAGAACCGTTATGGTTATTGTTTAGGCGTTCTATTGACTCGGGTATTTTTCCGTCTGCACTTAAACTTGGCTTGATTAGACCCATATTTAAGTCTTGTAATTCAACTGATGTTTCAAACTATCGTCCCATAACTATCCTCCCTCATTTATCCAAAATATTTGAAACACTCGTTCTTAACTCGGTTCGTTCTTCCTTGAATCATATCCTAATTGATGAGAAGCATGGCTTCCATCCTGGTAGATCAACTATAACTTGTAACCTTAGTCTTCATTCATATATATATATGATTCTTTTCGCGATAACTTCCAAGTAGATGTAATCTACACAGATTTCTCCAAGGCTTTTGATCGTGTTGATCATAATCATCTTATGTCAACTCTAGACTTTATAGGAATCGGCGAATCACTACTATCCTGGTTTCCCTCTTACATTACAAATAGGATCCAATGGGTAACTGTTGATTCCACCTCTTCCGACTACTTTACCCCCTCCTCAGGTGTACCACAAGGTGCTGTTCTTTCTCCACTTCTGTTTGTCCTATTCGTAAACTCAGCGGACTCCGTCCTCCAGCATTCCAAACTTCTTATCTTTGCTGATGATATAAAAATCTTTTTCCGTATAAAATCTATCCCTGACTGTCACCTTCTTCAAAACGACCTTCAGCAATTAGTGGCGTGAGGTGAATCTTTGGGGCTAGCTCTTAATATAACTTAATGTTCAGTAATTACTTTTTGTCGTATTAATGCTGTAATCGAGCATGTTTACTCCATAAACAATACCGCCTTAACAACCTGTAATAATTATGTAAAGGATTTAGGATTTACTCTCACACGGAACCTGTGCCCTAATATGCACATTCAGATAATATGTTGTTAGGCTCTTAAACTGTTAGGTTTCATAAACCGTGCCTCTACAGACTTTCACTTTATCACACCTCTAAAAACTCTTTTCTGCTCCCTAGTCCGTCCCATCCTTGAGTATGGTTCCGTTCTCTGGGACCCGTCCACCGCTTCTGCACGTAGCATGATTGAAAGGGTTCAAAGAAAATTCCTCCGTCAAGCTGCTTACAAATTAAAGATAGACTATCTACCACACGATTACACGCCAATCCAACACCTCATTCCTTAGAAAGCCTCGCCGATTGTCGTCATTCAGCTAACTTATCATTTCTATCTAATCTTCTTTCATCTAAAATTGACAGTCCTGAATCACTATCCTGTGTCTCATTTAATGTACCCTCCCGCCGTACACGATCATCTGTTCCATTTCATGTACCTTTCTCTTCCTCAAATTACTATCATAACTCACCGATCAACCGTCTTATGCGCATTGCCAACACTGACCCTTCATTCTCTCTCTAAAATTGAGCCTCGTTTCTATAAAAAAAACAATTATTATTATACTATTATATTCATGTATTAAAGGGTTCGTCTCGTATTGTAAAATAAAATAAAAAAATATTCTAACTATAAATCACACCGAATTTTAATATTATTAAAATCATTATTAATTATGTATTTAAAATAATTGAAAAATAAATCTTTGTCATTTTTCTATTTTATTAAATTAATAATTATTTATTTCAAAAGTATTAAATTAAATGACTTATTGGTAATGTTAGTATTTATAAATATATTTTATATACTTTTTTAAATTTATAGTTTAATTATAGTCCCTGTGTGTTAATATGCTTATTAATATATTCTTTTTATGTATTTTAGATATGGAAATAAATGAAAACACTTATCCAGGATTTAATGCTGATGTTTATTCAGTAATTAAAGATTATTTTTTGAATTCAGAAGAACCATTAATTCCTATATCTTTTTATGAGATATTTATATCTATTTTAGTAATAGTAGAAAGACATGACAATATGTGCAATAAAAAAGCTCAGTTCACAGAAAACCATACAAATTATAACACAACTCAAACATCAAATATGTGCTGGGAAACTGAATTTTCTTCTGATCACGCAAAAACCTGTATAGTAAATAAATGTTTTGATATTTCTGGGCATCATATCTCATCATTATCTAGGTCCTCTATAAGTAGTTGTAGTAGTACATCTTTTTTTGAATCATGTGAAGTTGAACTTAGTAAAATGGAACACAAGCCTTTAAATACTTCACATAAATATTCCAAACCAAAATTATTTCGAACAACTAGTTCTCCAGAAATTTCGGTAAAATCACAATCATATTATCAGAAAAATATGGAAAAAATAAAAAAAAAAAAATTGATGGGCCGAACTATATCCAATAATTCAATACATCCAAAGAATTTAAATGAACTAAATGATAGTGTTTATTCAGATGAATATGGATTTAAAAATAAACTATTGGATGACAATGATAAATTTGTTCATCCGTCTACTTCTGGATATATTAATTTTGGACTTTTTCAATCCGAGCAAATTAAAGATCAAATAAATGGGTTTGATATAGATATGGCAATTTCTACCCTCCATAAATTGATGGATTTTACACAAATGGACCGACCACAAAATCTCAATCATTATTCATTTAATGGTATGATTCAACATTTTTTTTTTTTTTTTTTAACTATTTCTTCATTTCAATACTGATAAATAAAATTAAAATTTACTCAAATTTTATAACACAAATTTTATCATCTTACAATTTTAGATATATCAAACAATTTCTAGCAATTGAAATATATTTTTAATCGAAAAAATAATAATGTAGCACTAATATATAAGTTGTTAAATTAATATTAAATTAATATTATATTAATATTAAATTTAATATTTATACTTAATATTAAATTGTGCTTATAATTTAATTTTATCCAATTAAAAGTAATATAAAATCATACTATAAAATATTAAATAGGAAATTCTTTATCTAATAATTATTTTTTTTTCTTTTATTAATATTAATTATAAATGATGTTGAAATTGGTAATTCTTTAACATAAAAAAAATAAATAATATATATATTTATCTTCTTGTAATGATTTTATTATGGACTAATTGTTAAAATGTAAAAATTATGTTTAGATTTGAATGAAAAATCAATGCACCTAGGAATTCTATTGTATCAATTACTTAGTCTTTGTCTTCCACCATTAAATAGAGCTAAACTACAAGTATTTTTAAAGTTTGTTTCTCAATTACCATCTACTTACGATAAGGTATTATTTTGTTACTATATATGATGATTATTATTTAATATTAATTATAATGTCTTCTTCACACCTGTGATAAATGTAATATATTGCTGCTTAAAAAAATTTTAAAATGTGAAAATTTTAATGGTCATGTACATGAAAATTAAATTTTTTGGAATTAAAAATGTTTAAAAAAAATATATGTATTACATTTAATAAACTTATAATATTCCCTGATAATTTTTTTTATATATTTATTATATAAATAATGTGTGATTTTCTTCATTTGAAATAATGAAAGTTAAACAGATCAAATTCAACCTTTTATGGAATGTTATTAATTTATAATTTTAATATTTGTTATTTTTTTTTTTTTTTGGTCCTTAATTAATTTGACCTAGTATAATTTTTTGGAATTTTATGATATTTTAAGTGTTTATTTTGTATGTCACTTTTAATTCCTATTATATGTATAATATTTACTTAAAATGTATTAGTTATACAATCCAGGTATATAATAAAAGTATAATTACTAATTTTTATTTTCAGATAACTGATAAATTATGTTGCGCAGTATTAAGACAAAATACTAATCAATTTGAGTATGATTGTTTAGCTACTGATGTAGTCAAGTTTTTGCTGCATAATCAAAAACTAATATTTGTGCCGATTAAAACTGATTCAATTTTATCAGAAAAATTTAATTTTTTTGATAGTGATGATAATTTTTATAAGGTTAGTGTAATACTTATATTATATTTTACTATTTTGGCATAGTATAATTTCTTAATTATTTGGTCTTACAAATAAAATAAAATAGTTAGTACATGACTAGTAACAAAAATATTTTTAATAAGTTATCAGAATAAATATTTACAATAGCATTTGGCTAGTTAAATAAAAAAAAAAAATACCGTTTAATTTTTTTTCGATAAAAAATTAAATATGAAATTCATTTTATACTCAATAAAAGTATGTTAAGTATTAATTTCAAATATGATATTTTCAGAGTTAAATATTATGTGGAATAATTAATAATGTTTAGCTAAGTTATATTGCTTATATATTTTATTTGAAAAATCCGAGAGATATTATGTAGATATAATTTATTAAAATTGTATTTTTATATGATTATGTAGGATAATATGCATTATTGTCTTCGAATATCAGACCAGGAATTTGAAAAACAAAGGAGTATTGAATCCAAAGAAGCTCTTATTGAATTGTTGGATCAAATCATAAATAGTTCAACCATGTCCAGTAAAGAAAAGAGTAAACGTATGAAATTAGTAAGTATTCAGTTCAATTAGTGCAACTTAATACTATGAATTACATCTGTACTATAAAAATTATTTTTAAGTTTTTGATCTAAAATGATTTTAATTTAATTTTGACATTATTAGAAATTGATTATAATTAATTAATGTTCATTAATTATTGTGGTAATTCTATTTGAAAGTAAATGTTACTACTTTTATATATATATATATATATGATTAGATAATAATAAATACGTCTGATTGGTATGGATCAGTACTTACCTGATTGACATCAACACGCATGTACCTCCAACTGCATATTTTGCTAGGTTTTTATTAATTTTTTTTTTTTTTTTTCAAAATATATATTAATATTAAGATATTAACTACCTAGTAATTAATTTATCATCTTAATTGTTCAATCTGTCCAAACTATGAATATTATATTTTTAGTTTCAGAAAATGTACCCAGATGTATATGAAAGAAGATTTGTCTTGCTAAAAGAACATAAGAAACGAAAACCTGAAGAAAATGGAAATCTAATTAAAAATCTACGAATTTAATTGTGAAATTGAATACTGCTTATTATAATTAATGTTATTTTATTTATCTTAAAAAAATGTTTGTATTTGAATAGTTTATAAATTGTAAATCTTACATCACATTATGTATTAAAATACCGAAAGTAATTAACTTACATTATAAAAAATTATGTTACATACTACTTTTGTACTTTTATATATCTTTAAAAATAAAGTGGTGCTCATTTATCTACAACATTTTTTTATTTATTTGTAAAATTATGGATATATTTATTGAATAATAGTATTGATGTATGAACTGTTAAGTCCTAATGAAAGTTATAAAAAATTAAAAAGAGTTTATTCTTATGGCACATACCATGTAAGACCATACAGACCTCGCAATATGTCTCTTATATACTTGGCATCCATTACACTTTTTATGTATAAACATGGAAAAGCAATAGTTATAATTTAATCGTCGAGTTCTTGATTACACGCTGAGAGGAGACCGTATTGTAATGCAAAAGATACTACGTCTAGTGTTTGTGCGTGCAAAAATAATTGCATTATTCTGAAATGAGACAACGAATTCATTATATAAACTTCATTGTTGTCATAATAAAATTTCGTTAGAATATTGTAAGACGTATAGAAAGGGAGAGCCATCGGTGCTCATTTCATAGAAACAAACAAGTTAACTTGCGTTCAAGACCAAAACTAGATATTTGTATACTGTAAAGTGGTTTGTAACGGGTCAAACCAAGCGTGCAATATGAGACTGAAATCCATCTCGCTTGAAACGCCGTTCACGGTTTTCACAGGGGAAACAATTTGATCGTGTGATTGGTACATATAGATATAGAGTACGACGACGATCGTCGAACAAAACTTGTTCGTTACAATTGTTATCGGTCGTGACGAGATCGAGAATCACGGCAGCAGCGGTTCCAAAGCATATATAAATAGTATGTCTATGTCTATTTATTATTATTGTCTATTTCCCTATGTCTATGGTCCCTGGTGCTTCGCACGGCTACAGATAATATTGATGGTACACGATTCTAAAAAGATTTTAATAAGTTAATAATTATAATATTAATTAATTATAATGTAATTAATTAATTTTATAATCGTGGTGTAACACAGAATATGAACGGCGACGCTGCCCGAACTACAAAACGGATGAACGCAAGTACGTCGAAACGTCACGAGTACGACAAACGCGCACGTTACCGCCAACATTATACTGGCGCACCCATCAGTCTTTTTCGTTATTTCCTTTCTCTCATTCATTCACTCACTCACTCACTCCCTCTCTCTCTTGGCATTCATCGTGATAACCCGCGCGCTCACTTCATTGCGTTATCTTCCCACATCTGGCGATTAAGCGATTTCCTCCCCTAGATAAAACGCATACAGTTGCCCGACACATGATATTATTGTTGTTGCGATGATAATACGGCGTAGTATAGCACCACAGCGTTTGTTTTACTATTACTATTATTACAGTGTTTTATCGGATAAGAACAAACCGTGTCGGTGAACCGAACTCCAAATGCGCGTATACACACACACATATATATATATGTATATATATTATTATTGTTCAATTAAAAATTGCCAATTGAAATAAAAAACCGTGAGGAACAGGCGCCGCCACTGTTTTCGTGCGAACTCGCGTGTTGGTCGCTCGCATACTCGTCTACCGTCGTCACCTTCCCGAGGACTTAGGTTATGTGAATTTTTTTGATTCTTTTCCTTTGTTTTCTCTTACTACACCTTCACCGCTGCCTTTGACCGCATTGGACTTTAGACCCACATCGTTCCGAACGCTTTTTGAACACGCGTTTGTTGTATTATTGCTGCTGATCAACGAATT